GTGGCTCCAGGGCCGGCCGCGGCGCTCGGTTCCTCGAGTTCTCCGAGAGCCGTAATTGAGGTTGTGCCCGGCGACCTGACACAGCCGTGACAAGAGCTGTCAGCGGCCGCTTCTCTTCCCCACGTTGCTGGAGGAGCCGGTTTGTGTCTGTTGAAGATAGTATTGTATGTTCGCGTTTGCTGTAATGCTGAGCCACAGGCTCTACGCCGTGTCTCATTTCAGCGCAGGAATGAGGTTGTAGGGGGAAGAAGCCCTGCACATAGTTTAGGGGTGAAGTGTGGCCTGCTGCCTTACTGCTGCACTAATAGCTGTGGTGTTCCAGCATGCCACTAAGATCTGCCTCAAGACTGTGAAAATGAACATACAAGAGTCAACATTGTGCTAACTTATTTGATGGGGAATGATCTTTTGGGCTTTATCCATTTAAACAACAAGTATTCTACTTTATGTGTATATTTAGTTACTGCTGAGATTGTGGATGGGATAGGGAATCATGTAAATCCTGACTCATGTGCCCCACCCTGGAAAAGAATTGCTGAAGTGGAAAAACGGCCATAGAACACACGTTCTTTAGTGAACTCGCCAGTCCCTGACAAGGGATGCTAATCAACAGGTACAATCTCAGCTGTAGGGTTTTGTCATTGTTTTGTTTTTTTGTTTTTCTTCGTTGCCTTGTCCTGATAAAGGATCCATCTGAATGTGAACTCTCTGGATTCCCCTGGAAGTATTTATTAAGCCATGCTGAACCCAGTCCAATACAGCCACCTTTTCTGTAGAATATGTTGGGTTGGAGTTAGCTCTGTGTTCTTTATGAACACAAGCAAGGCGTGATCTCCTGCCTGTTCCGTAAGGTGCTGCACAGACCTGCCCCAACAAAGAAAAACATAAGAAAAGTTCAACAGCTTGGCATTTCTAAATTAAAATATTTCATGTTGCAGTCTAATTTCTATTTGTTTCCCAAATCTTGATCCATTAAAAAAACCCCAGAACATAAGCTGTTTTATTTTCCTGTGTTATTTCTGTATGGTAAGAGCTGCTTGTGGGGACAGTGCTGGAAAAGTGTTCTTGATTAAGTGGGCAGATACAGTACAAAGAGCAGATTGTCTCATGTGGGTTTTCTTGTCTCTTGTACTCTTTTTCAAAACTGAGAGCAAAGAATGTCTTGAAAGTTGTTTTTCCACAATGCCTGGTTGAAATGAGGCATGTGAGGTACCACAGTTTTACTTCTGTGGTGTTCTGCTTGAGACAGTAACAGTGAAGCACCCTAACTCCTGTGAGCAAGCAGCAGAACCATCAATTCTTGTCACGTTCTTCAGCACTTGGTTGGTCTGTTGTTAACCATCTCGTGCAGAGCAGTCTGTGCTGTAAAGAGGAGGTGGTGGACTTTTTTTTTCCCTTGGTTTCTGCAGCCATATGTCCCACCCGAGATGTCTTGCAAAACAGACTTGAGATCATGTTAATAGGTTTCATGATTAAAAAGTGTGGTTGTGGGCATTCACCAGTCATCAACTGCTAAAAGGTGTCATGGTAAGTAAGACTTGTGTAGAGGTTTCCCTGCCTCAGGATGGATTGCCAGTGGTCATAGAGAAAGAAGTAAGCGGCTGGCTGGCCTGTTACATTGGCTTGTTTTGGCACAATGTAACATTTGTCAGCCAATGTAACATTTGTGCACAGAGTAGCAAGAACCTCACCTTGCAGAGGTGTTATGTTGTAGCATAAAGAATAACTTTTAAATTACAAAAGTGTTCCAGTGACAATAGAAAACTCCTGAGGCTTTCTCTACAGGCATTAAGAATATGTTTGTCTTTTTTCCTCCCTGTGTAAACATCAGAAGGCGGCTTTGCTTGGGTCTGGTGAGAACAGTGCATGTGTGCCGATACTGAGAGGAGCAAAGGAAAATTCCTCCTTTAAGTTACGGTGATCTTTACAAAGATCCTGCACAGATGGTGTGCCTGGAATCAAAGTGGTGGCTTATTAACTCTCATGATTATGAAATGGTTGAAAAGCATTTACGGAGAAGCTTAAAATTAAGCTTGAGTGGCCTAGCAAGCTGATTGGGAAGTTGATTGTGATAGTGATCAGTGAACGCTTGTGACATGCTGGCCGAAGACTCTGTGAAGTTCTGTCTTTGTGCACGTTTTTCTTCTATGAAACTAGGTTGTATTTTGGCAGAAGATGTTGCAAGTATAATTTACCAATATGGCCTGACTTGCCTCTGTGAGTGTGTGTTTCAGAAATAGTTGCTATAACTGGCTGTTTGGGGAAATTAGTGCCCAGGAGCTTCTTTATGTGAAGAACACACACAACAACAGAAAGGCAAAATAATTTTTTCTTCGGTGAAGTGAACAGGTGTTGGATGAGAAGAGATTATTTTGTGTCTTAATATACTTGTAGTAAGGTTTGTACAAAAAAATTACATGTTTGTGTTAGGATTTTTCATTTTCAGCAAATGGAAATCCACGATTTTCTAAAGGAAGGATTATCTTCCCCTTTTATATCTTTTCAAGTTGCTTAGTGTATTTTCAGTTGTTTTGCATTTTTTATCAGTATATAACTGAACATAGTGAGTTAATAAAATCAATATTTATTGGTGACTTTAACACAGCCAGAACATACATAAATCATCCTTTTTGTTTTGTTTGGTACTGTGGCAGTGCAAGGTCGTAGTATATTGAAGAGAACTCCTTGTATCTCGTCTTGCTGGCTGGAGCCTCGGGGTCTCTGATGGTATTCTTTTTCTGACATTTTCAGCTGTATTAAAAGGCAGGCTAAAAATGAAAACATCTACAAATATTTTCCTTTCATGAAAAATTGAACATAAAAGCAGAGAATGGTTTTGGCTCAAACAATGCCACTGTGCAGAAACAGGTTCCAAAAGGGGTGTAGTATGATTAGCAAAAAAAAAAAAAAAAAAAGGTTAAAGAATTCTCAACTCAGTGTGATGAGACTTTCATAGTTAACTCCTTTTATGCCTTTAAATACTTTGATGATAAAACACAAATTAAAGCCTTTTCCGTCATACCATAACACTGTCATCAGAACAAGAGTTCCATCTGGAAGCTAAAACATGGTAATTTGAGTCCTAGATCAACATTATTACAATTGTATTAAAACCAGAAGTACCCTTTCAAATTCTGTATCTGTTAAAATAGCATTTTGGTTTATAACTTTGAATATTTCACGGTGATGATGACCAGCACATTTAGCTTTATATGTCTGTTGTTTGTCTCACGGTACTTCTGAAATTAAATGACTTTTGGCAAGACATAAAACGGTATATCTTTCTCTCCTTTTTTCGCTAAGATCTTAGTGGCTCCATAACAACTCGAGATGTAAAGCTAAATCTTGGAGGAGAATTCATCAAAGAATCCGCTGCAACTACATTCCTAAGACAGAGGGGCTATGGCTGGCTTCTGGAAGTGGAAGATGATGACCCAGAAGATAACAAGCCACTTCTGTATGTCATAGTTATTTTTTTTGTATCTCCTTATTAGCTGTGTAGGAAAAACAAACAACTTGTAGCCTCTCAAATTGTCCCACAGCCTTTTGCTGTCATGAGAATTCTGTTTGACAAACTACTTGGTGTGCAGGAATGAAAACATTGTTTCTCATTATAGGTTTTATTTTTAGTGTAAAAGAAAGGCTGGTTAATCACTGCTGGGGAGGAAGGAACAAGTGAAATTTACTTTCAGTCATCTGTATAAAATTTTTATGGATTTTCTGCTCTTATCTATTGATCTTGTAATGATTCAAAAAATCAGATTGCATTCTTTGTCTTTTGTGTGATGTTGCGAGTTTCTTAATGCTGTCCAAAAATCAGAGTCTAAGATAATCCTGTGGAAGGATTCATGTTAAGTAAATTGTCAGTTACTCTGAAGTAAAAGCATTGTGAATTGTGCTTAGTACAGAAGGGATATTAGAAGCCAGGTAGCACAAACTTTATTATCTTTGATGCTGTCTCATAATATAAAGCTAGATTAAAAGGGTGCTACTGTTGGAGGACAAAGAAGTCCTTAAAACTGAGAATCTCTGCATCGCTTGTTCCATTCACAGAAAGGCGGCTGACTGAAGAAAGTTTGTATCTTAAGGTTACCACACCGTGGATTAGGCAGCCTAAGTCTCAGTCCTTGTTCTGCATCTAAGCAACTTCATTCTCAGAGTCTCTGTTTTCCTGTGTGAATTAAAGATAATGGTGTTTTAAAAAAATGGGGTGAGCAGGAGGGTACTCTGGAGAACTCAAATGAGAGCACTGGGAGAGAACGGATGTATGGAGAGCTTACTAATGACGCTCCTACTTGAGAAGTCCTTTAAAGTGTGAAGAAGTAGCTCCTTGTGTGAATAAGTCTGTTCTGTAAAGCTTTAAGTTTTAATTAAGAAACAGAATGGAGCACTGAGGTTTCAACATACAAATTTTCTCTTTTGCGTAACTTTTTATACCACAAACCCCAAGTTTGTGATTTGAAGACAGCTAGGGTGTCAGGAGGATGGGCCCAGACAAGAGGCAATGGGCATAAAATAAACCACAGGAAGTTTCACCTGAACACGAGAAAGAACTTCTTTACTATGAGGGTGACTGAGCAATGCAAGAGGTTGCCCAGAGAGGCTGTGGAGTCTCCTTCTCTGGAGATATTCAAGGGCCATCTGGACACAATCCTAAGTAATGTGCTCCAGGTGACCCTGCTTGTGCATGAGGTTGGACTAGATGACCTCTGGTGGTCCTTTCCAGCCTTAATTATTCTGTGACAGGTGTTCTAACCTGCTGATTGCTGGAAGTGAGGAGAACATCTCGAGGACATGTCAGCTTATGGCACAGGGTGAATATATTCATCCCAGTAGAGAAGATCTTAATCTGACTGTCGCATAGCAGTTTTTATGCAGTTCTGATTATTCCCAGAACATGTGCTGTAATGAAGCCTTGTAACCTGAATCCTCCTATGGATTGAAAGACTAGCAGCCAGTTAAGGGAAGTTAACCCATGGGGTGATACCATGCAAGGATTTTCTTCAATAGAGGAAGAGTATTACTTTTTTTCTCCTTGGGCAGTCTTACCCCAGAGACTTGTTTCTTGTTACAGCATCCATCACTTCTTGGGTGAGGCAGCTGACAGCTTCATGCAAAGGCAATCTATTTACATGAGAAATTGTCAGAATTTGCCGTAGGCAATGACAAAGAATTATTTGCAGACAGGAAATATTTGCACAGTCTTCAGAGTAAAATATAGGGATGCTACATCCTGTTTAGATAAGTGGGGGAAAATAGATGCTTCCAGTCTACTCCTTAGATTCAGGGATGTGTTAACAACTTTTGTTAGTTAGTCACAGGTTAATAATATGAATTCTGAAATACCTTCAGTAATGGCAATCCTGAAATTGCCTTGAGAAACTCAGTGAGAAGTATTTAATGACTTTTTTTTAAGAGAAATTGTCGTGAATCATGTCTTTGTGTTTATTTCTCACTTCAGCTTTTCTGAGGAAAAAGCCATAAATCAAAGCCTTGTATGAAACTTTCATAACCTGACTTAGGCTATGATTCCACATTTTTCTCTACTGTGCTCTTAAGTAGAGAGCAGAGGCATGTCTGCCAGAAGCCTCTTGGAACTCTTCATTGCTCCTCAGTTGTGACTGTATAAGGAAAACCTTGGTGTATAGTTCTGTCTTAAGGTTCCATGCATAAACTTAAAGAAGTGGAATTCCCCATTACTTGGCAAGTCTTACTCCTTCCTGTTCTGTTAGGACAGTTGGGGCAAGATGTACCAGTTAAGTATCTCCTGTGCAGAAGAGTCTTCTGGTCAATTTTTAGCTGCTTACAGATTGTTTGCAGCTGAGTGTGAAGAAGGCAGTTAGAGAAGAGCGAGATCTGTTGATAGAATTTATTGATAGCTTAATTTGCTTTAATTTATTTTTACTTTTATTGGAAACAAGCCAGTAATTAAAGAACTGGCTTAAACTGGTAGCTGAAAACTACTGTTGTTGAAGGAAGTTAAACCCCATTTCATTTAAAAGAATTGTTTTTACCTTGTGTGTTTTGAATGGTTTAGGACTAGTGAACATAAAGGTATTCTTTCTTGTAGAAAAATGTTTCCATAACAAGTGTGCTTATGGCAAACTGCTCAGCATAGGAGTACACAAACATCCTACTTTTGTGTATGCATGTCTGGCTTCTAAGTAGCTACAGTGGTATGAATGTGTCATGTGTTCCTGCATGTCAGAAAATAATCTGTCTTATTGTAGACTGTTAGGGTGTGTTTTCTATTCTCAATCATGTAACTGAGTATTGAACAATTAAATATACCTAACTGTCACACTAGTTCCTGAATGCAGGGTGAAGGTATGGTGTTGCTTTGTTGTGGGAAAACTGTTCTGTTGCTAGCCATGGCTTCAAAAAGCCTTATTGCTGGCAGGAGACTTGCTCCATAAACCTGCCATTTGCTCCTGCGCTTACTTTTTTTTCTGCTCTGTTTCATTACTGTGCTCTACAGTAATGCTCTCTCACTTTACAATTTCAGGGAAGAACTCGACATTGATCTGAAGGATATTTACTACAAAATTCGATGTGTATTGATGCCTATGCCATCTCTTGGGTTTAATAGGCAGGTAGTGAGAGACAATCCAGACTTTTGGGGTCCTCTGGCAGTTGTCCTCTTCTTCTCAATGATTTCATTATATGGACAATTTAAGGTAGGTGTAAGACTTCTACCCAAAAGGAAATCTAAACTAAATTTAGGGATATGACTGCTAAGCAATTTGCATTCTTATGTAGGTAGAAACTTTTTTTTTTTTCCCCACATACTAACGCAGGGCATTTCAAATGCTGATTCTCAAGTTAATATGTAGAAAGACAGCAGTCAGAAACGTATTAAATGGCCCACGGGTAAGTTAATTGTCATGAAATGTCAAGCTTGTTTTTATACAGCAGAACAAAGAAAAGATGTGGTTTCTAGAGGGAACAGATTGATACTAATGGGTTTATAGTCATATTAGTGAATTGTTCAATTTTAATTGTGACCTTTTGTTAATATGCTCTTTATTACTAAAAAATATTACTGAAGAACATGTGTTTCGATGTAATGAATTTTAATTTCCTGATAAATAAAGCTACTAGTTTAATTCTTATTGTATCACTGCTGTTATCTGGTATAATCAGTGCCATTTGCTTTTTTGTCCTCCGTGCTCAATTACAATCAAATAACATTCCTCTGGTCAATAGACTTTTTCCATAATTCCTTTTGAAATCCAGGATGAATAGCTATTCAGCAGCATCGTGCAGATTTCACTGGCCTCCATAAACACAGTTAGCTTTTTTTCTTCAGGTTGAAATAGAGAAGTAGTATCTTATCTAGTTGGAATTTAAATGTGAGCCTAGGTGATACTGCTTCAGAAATCTTTTTTACTATATGTGTAATTACAATTGGTTTAAATATAACATAGTATAGCAATAAGTATGTAAAGTAGCAGAATGTGCTTATGCAAGGATTTTTGTGAATGGTGAGATAAAATCTTCCCCGTTGCAACCTCTGGCTTCCATATGGTGTAGCAAATGCTGACTAAGACTTCACTCTCAGGATCTTGTTTCTGTGAGGCTCAAAGGGAGTAGGCTAAACCACTGTCTTCTGAGTGGACCACTTACCTATCTCCTAGGCAGAACAAGGACCATTCCTTGATCCAATGACAGATAAACTACCTTCTGCAGCTTGTGTACCTATTGTACATGAGTAGTAGATTAATGTTTCTTAGGAACCGTGGGTTTACTATACTGGTGTGAGAGCACTGTATATGGGTGAGGAGGGAAAGCTAGTAGCTAGCAACAGCATGGCTGACAGCAGCTAGGCTAGATGAACTGGATGGTGGGCTGTAAGCTGGACAGAGTGGAGCATTCC